ATGCCAATAACTGTTTAAGAGGAAAGGTCCCTTTTGTGGGATATTATATCAGAGCCATAGAAGTTGGCATTTCTTTCCCCTGTTAATACATGACAATGTATATTAATTTTTGTAGAACTTAATTTCATTCTTAGATGCTTCTTATTCTGAAGTGCTTTGAAGTTATCTGAACGAAGACAATCTGGCATTTAGGTGAGGGTTGTTGTTCCATTTATAGTAGGCTACCAAAGTAGAAAGTTATTATTGAGACAATGTATGTTGAAAGATGCATGTATTTGATTTAATATTTACTATGTTGTTCTTTATCATTTCTTACATTTCCTCATTGTTTTGCTTATTTTGCATCATTTTCATCCTTATTCCTCAGAATGCCTATATATTTTCTCATCCTCTTTATTTTTTTGTTTTCAAATTTTCTTTGTCACCTTCTAGCTCTTACTCCAGTGGCTATGGATGCATTTCAGAGATTTCTTTAACCCCCTGAAATTGTAGCAATAATTTTCTTATAAATTCATTTATCTGGGGGACTAAGTGCTCCCTTACCTGCTTCTTAACCATGCAAATCCACTTTTTAAAATTTCATTTTATTCAGCTATTACATTACCAGTGTATAGGGTTAGACTATTTAATCTTTGATATCCCATTTGTCATTTACAAACTGCAGATCATTGAAACAACCACCAAATGAAAAATCGTCCAATATACCCACCTTAGGCCCAGTTTGCACAGTGCAGCTGTTGGTACTGCCTAGATGAAAAGCTTCACTGTACATTGGGCTGTCCATCAGCATCGTTAGGTGTGGTGAATCTACACTTCCCTTCTTATCTTCTGCTTTCTCTCCAGAGGGCAAAGGTAGCTGTGGCCAATTCAGATGGTCCTGGGCACACAATTGCCTCTCTTCTCTGAAAATGGAAGTACTACTTTGCACTCACCAGAATTTCCCAGTTATTCCCATTATTCAACCAGTATAGAATATGAGAGAGGATGCTTCCTCATTTATTCTGAGAGACAATGAACAGCATTATGGGCCTAACATATAGCACCACGGTGTTCATAGCTTGAGGATGTAAAACTAATCAGTAGTATTTTTTAATGAGGTAAATATTCATATTTATAAACATTGAGACTATTAATTCTGGTGAGTGTGTTTGAATATCTATAAATCAGAAGAAATTGAAGAGCTGAAATTCAGATTTCCTCACACTTGCCTGCCAAGTGGCCTCAATCAGAAGTAATTTTCTCCATGAGGGCACATGGAGCTCAGTCGTGAGCCTTTTCTGAGTAGATATTATTATTTGTGTCAAATTATGTGTGGTGATTTTTCTGAAGTGGACTTCTGTGCCCACTAATCCATACACAGGAGGTTCCTTCATTCCCTCCTTCATTGGTGCTATTAATTGTACTTGTGCTTCAAGTGTCTCTTACCCTTTTAAAATGTTAGTTTATGGCCACCGATTATCTGTAAGGTTTTCCTGTTAAAGAAACATGCAATATAGAGAGTAGAGTGAGATCGGATCTTAAACCATAAATACTATGCATTTTAAAAGAAACCTTTTTCCCAGAGCCTGATTTGATAGCATAGCTAAAGAAATGGTTAGTTATTTTACATTTTAAAGTACAGTAAATTATATAAAGCTGACACTTGCTTTGGAAGAAATACAAATTGGTCACCAAATGACCTTCCTATGGTCTTTTTTAAATATTGACAATGAGATCTCATGTTCAAAAAATTTGGAACAAATGAGCTTGGTGATTTTTCACCTTTTATTTGAATTTTGATAATTCATTTTTAAACATGTAGGTGCTTCTTTTTAATTCCATGCTTGGAATTGCAAAGGAAGAGCCAACATGTAAAATAAAACAATCCTGAAATATATAATACTAAGATCTTATCAAAAACTTTGATAAATAAAATATTATATATATAAATATACATATGTATCTGTGTATATATAAAATTACTGTAACATGACTTTGAGATTTAAAAATAAATAAATGCTTTGTGTGTACATTTTTCTTTCAAATTTTCCCATGAGCATTTCAATATATTTTTAATACAGTGATTAAACTTAAATTGATGTCATATTATCAAAGCCAATTTGTCATTGAATATTGTAAATAATTATTCATTACATATCATTCTTAGTAAATCCTCTTCTAAAAAAGTATGTATGCCTAGAATTTCATTTTGTAAAAGGAAAGCATATATATTACTGTTACTTAAACATGTATAATATGTATACATTCTTTTTATTATATACAGGCTTTTATAATTGAAGAGCATCCAGAAAAAAAAGAATTTCTTTTTCTATTTTTCATATTTTATGTATGAAAATATCTGTGAGAGCTTTACTTTTCATTAGTAAAACTCAGAGTATATATTCCAAAAGAAGCATATATTTCAAAAGAAATATATATTGTAATTTCTGTTAAAACTGATATTAAAAGTTACTTTACATATTGATGTAGTGTGAGTATAAATTATGTAAATAAAAATAATAGTAATTATTTTATTTTTGATAAGTCTATAAGACTATCTTTCTGACTTTGGGGAGGGGTCTAGTATTTTGGTTGACTTTCAGTAATTTGAGAAGAGCAACAAGAGAGTTTTCAATTTTTAAAGATGAGATCATTAAGCATCTGTGAATAAATAATTATGTTAATAGGAATTAACCATTTTTTAAGTTACCTATGTTTTAAAGTTGTTTCTGAAGCAATGCATTTATAACTACCAAAGACTGGTTTACATAGTAGTGTATTAATTAAAAGTATTTTTAAAATCTCTTGGCTCATGCCTGTAGTCCCAGCTTCTCCAGAGGCTGAGGTGGGAGAGTCACTTAAGCCCAGGAATTTGAAACTGCAGCCAGCTGTGATTGCACCTCTGTATGCCAGCCTGGGCAACTGATCCAGACCCTTTCTCAAAAAATAATAATAATCTTAAATTTTCACATTAACTTTTTCACTTGTCAGTTGGAAACCTTATTCTAGTTAACTAACCTCCTGAACTTCATTTTTCAAATCTGCAAAATAAAAATAGTCATAATTCTCATACTTACTTCACTGGATTATTTTAAAGATCACGTAAAAAAGTGCTTTGAATAGTATTTCATTTTGTATATATACCATAATATATCCATGTAACAACACTGCACTTGTACCCCTTAAATTATACAAATAAAAAAATAGAAAGTGCTTTGAAACTCTTACATGAAACAAATGATGTAGCTCATGTCTTCTTATGATCAAATTTGTTGTTATAATTACATTTTTTGAAAAAAAGAAATATTCTATTAATTATAACAACAAATTTGTTACATGGATGTATTATGGTATATATACAAAATGAAATACATAAATGAAATCATGTAGTCTATTAATGCTAAGTTCTCATTAGACTTAGCATTAATAATTGAACTTATCTCTTGAAATTATCAAATAAATGATTTAAAGATTGCAATATTTTACATTATTACTATTTTATATATCTTTGCTTGTCTTGCTCTTTGACATAATTGTTCTAAAAGGTGAAAGATTATACATTTTAAACTTGAAACAGTTAATAAGATAAAATCTAATATGAGATGCATGACTTTTGAATGTGGTTGGTGCAGAAACAAAATCCATGGTTCTTTTAACCCTCTACCTTGAGCACACAGAATGTATAATAAAACACGATATGACCAGAGTAGAATTAGGGCATCCTTTTTTTCTTGACATTTGCTCTTTTGAAGAATGAAGGGTAAAACACATTTTGTAAAGGACAAAGAGACTCTGTAAGAAATTTTCAGTTGGATGTCCCTTCATTTAAACCCATCCGATTATTTTGTCTAGGCCAAAGTGTCATATTAATTGAATCCTTTGACAATTACTTTTTGGGGAAACACTAGATACGATACTTATTTCTATTTATGTACATAGATATAAAAATTGTAGTATATGTACTATTTTAAATTATTTATAAGATTGCTCCTTAGGCCCTGGAAATTTCCTAGCACATATCTAAAAAGTGAGAGTGAGAGGCTGCCTGAGCCTGTGAGTATTTAGCCTGTCTGATGAGACTGCTGCCATGAGTGACAATTAGTACAAATTACCATAATTGTGTTCTTTGGATAAAATGCCACATCACTTCTTTGGGAGCAAATGCAGTTTCTACTTATTAAAATGAGTTGGTTACTTCGATTCTTTAGAGGCAGCCAGAAATTCACAATCAGCCCAGTGGTATTCCCATGTAGTCCACTTCAGATCGGCCTGAACAACTCCAGCCCTCCCTTTCCTTTCAATAAAATAGGTCCATTAATGTAGCGCCCCTCACTCTCATTCTCTCCAAGGGAGTTATATTTTTATTACTGAAAAAGTATCACATAAATACAAATTACATTTTTTCATTAGAAAACCACTTTTCATTTCAGAAAAAATTCAATTAATTATGAATAGGGTTATGCTTTCATCAGGGAGAGAAATATGTAATTTTTCTTCAAGCCTCAAACACATATAATGAAATCTTTTCTCAGAATCCACTCTTAAGATGGATTTTTAAAAGTATAGACTTTATTAAAATCTCAGTTCAATTAAAATGCATTCAATTACTTTAAATCTTTATTAAAATCTCAGGTAAAATTGTACAACAGTGTAAAAGAGACTTGTACTCTTTACCAGGCAGTTAATTCTAACAAATGAACATAAAGTGCACAGTTTTGCTCTTAAAGAGGGAATCAAAAAAATAAGTTTGGGGCTTGAAGTTGGGGGTGGGGAAGCAATGGAGATGCAGGTTGCTTTCTATGTTATAACTTCTGACACTGGTTTCCTTGGATCTTTCATCATAGGTCATTGTTCCTTGTCTATACGGATGTAGCATTATCTTGTGTGAGTCCCATTGGTGGTACTGCTTAGAGCATATTATTTTTCTCACCACTGTAACAAAAAAAAGGCTCTATTTAAGGATTTTATTTCACTGTCTTCCTTGGATATTTTTGGTACAGTGTCCCTGATTCTTTTTCAAGGGCCGCTTGAAGATGCCATTGAAGATGAGGAAGAAGAATGTCCATCAGAGGAAACAGACATCATCTCCAAAGGAGACTTTCCATTGGAGGAAAGCTTTTCCACAGAATTTGGGCCTGAAAATCTGAGCTGTGAAGAAGTGGAATACTTTTGTAACAAAGGTAATTGTTGATGGTTCGATGTAATATGTGAGTCCACTTAAATGATTTTGTAATGTTTTAAAAAATGCATAATAGTGCTCAAAGTGCTGACAGATAATTCAACCGTCTGAAAACAAGTACAGATTTTTTTAAACATAAAATTTTATTTCGAGGGACACGAGTAACTCCACTCTAATAACCAGTAATTTTTTCTATTGAAACAAATATTTTCATGTTGATTGGCCAATTAACTATGCACATTCTTCATGTTATTGGCCAATTAACTGTAATATATTTAATGTTGATCATTTATTCATTCATTCTTTCAACAAGAATTTATTGAATGTTAATTGTTTGCAAGGCACTAAATTAGGCATTAAATATTAGCACTGAATGAGGCAGAGAGTTCTCAACTAAGGTTCCAGCTCATTCCTTTTGAAAACCGAATGCTTTAGGTGTTTAATTTTGACTTTCAACAGTGAGGATGGTGCTTTGGGGATATTGTCAAATAAAAAAATACACATTCTTTCTCCATTCTAGATACTTTTTTGACACATTAACAATATAATCCAAGAAGCACTTGAGACATATCGCAACTTATTTTCAGCCATGACTTGGACCCAGATGGCCTTGCCAGTGACTTAGTTCTCATGGAGCATATATACTCATTTGTTTACTTTTTTCATAAGTCAGTTTAAGGTTTCTCATGATTCTTATATATTTATTTTTATTTGATTGTTTTGCAAGTCTTTTATCTCCTCCTGCACCAATGTACAGTTTTCACAAATGCTTGGATCACTTCCTTGGTTTAGAACAGCTGCTTTTGCAGAGGGCTTGACTGGAAGTGTATGTCTGTTTCTGTATGTCTGTGTTTGTGTATGCACCATTTTTGTTCAGACATGTTTGTTTCTTAGGCAGATAAATATAATAAAGTGGACTTTTTGTTTGTGTGTGTGTTTGAATATGTTAATCAGACTTCATAGTCTCAAATCAAGAATGCCATTGTAGCTTCTCAAAAAAATGTCAATTCGCGTATCTTGGTGGCCATGTATGTATTTAATCATTGAAAGTTCCAGTATCATTTTCTCTTGTTGATGGTGTCAACAAAAAATGTCAGAAACAACAGATGTCAGTCAGCTCCCATCCCTGTCGTCAGTAGAACGCCAGGCCCTAAAACTGTGGAAACAGAGTGGCACCTGGACACACTGAAATTCAAAAAAATCTCCTTAATCATGTAGACCTCAAGATGACTTGTAGCATGGTCCTTGTCTCCTACATCAGAGATTTTTAATTGAAAATGAGAAAAGTATGAACAAAATAGGCTTTTTTTCCTAGTGTTGACTCAGATTTCAAGCCAAATTAATATTTTCCTTAGTTGCTAGAACCATTTATTGATGATATGTAGCTATGGCAATAAATCTAAGCTGGCTGGAGATGGATATTTTTTAAATTTATGTTTGAAGACATCTCAATTTTTTTTCTTGTTAGGAAATATATCCTTTTGTGCATTGTAGAAGACCTACCTTATGTTGCGATATTGCAGTAAAGAGAGGAGCTGAGAGTTAGAAGGTGGATAAAAGAGTTAATGTATGGATTCATACCTTTTGTCAATTTAATTCATCCAGGAAGGCAGTATGATAGGTATTACTGTATGAATTGCAAATTTTGGGAGGATCTCTGGTTAAGGGCTATGTTTAATAAAAGAGTAAAGAACTCCAAGTTTTAAGGTAGTAATTTCCTGGGAGAAAATAGATTTATGGCAAATGCTTACATGATGATGTAACTGTGGTCTTAGGACAGTCACTCCAGCTGTACTAACCAGAGTCCTGACTCATGAAAAATAATGACAGGCCTTTAGGAACTAAGAAAAAACATTAAATTACAATTGTTCTGAACAGGATTCAGTAGATATTATTATTAATTATTTTATAAACAGTTGGAAAAATGTTTAATGTCAGATTTACGTAAAATAATACTTAGTATATGATATAGAGACCATATTAAATAATATATAACCTACATGTATTATAAGATAATTCTGTAATGTTTAGTTTGAAAGTAGAAGGTCATAATGGGTGGGAATAATAATTCTTATTTTCACATGATATTTGTCAGGATAAATAGCAATATTACTATTGATAGGAAAATAATTTCATTATTTTACTCTCACAGAATGTATGACCAGGGAATTCCCACTGAAGTCAGTTGGAACTGGTACAAAGGAAAGACAACTCTTTGATAGATTTTTCATCCCTTGAGGTCATGCAAGGAATGCTATCCATTCTTCACTTAAGTTGATTAGCTACAATGGAAAGAGAATATTTTCTCTCTGGAAAATTAGAAACTAATCTTTCTGTTGAAATTCTCAATTTTTCTCAGTGACACATAATTATATTTTATTGCCAATTGTGAGGAAGAGGACAGATTAGCAATTAAAAGAGTAGAAGTGACCAGGTCGGTGACTCACGCCTGTAATCCTAGCACTTTGGGAGGCCAAGGCAGGTGGATCATCTGAAATCAGGAGTTTGAGACCAGCCTGGCCAACATGGCAAAACCCTATCTCTGCTAAAAATACGAAAATTGGTCAGGTGTGGTGGCGCACGCCTATAATCCCAGCTACTTGGGAGGCTGAGACAGGAGAATTGCTTGAACCCAGAAGGCGGAGGTTGCAGTGAGCTAAGATCGTGCCACCACACTCCAGCCTGTGTGACAGGAGCGAGACTCCATCTCAAAAAAAAAAAAAAAAAAAATACTAGAAGTATTTAAATGGTTAACAATGCCAGTGTCATTACTGGAAAAGCAAATAAGACATGTTCCTCTGAAGAAAAATATTTTTAGGCCGGGCACGATGGCTGACGCCTGTAATCCCAGCACTTTGGGAGGCTGAGGCGGAAGCATCACTTGAGGTCAGGAGTTTGAGACCATCCTGGCCACTGTGGCAAAACCCCATCTCTACTAAAAATACAAAAATTAACCAGGTGTGGTGGTGGTGCCTGTAGTCCCAGCTACTCGGGAGGCTGAGGCAGGGAGAATTGCTTGAACCCGGGAGGCAGTGGAGGTTACAGACAGCCGAGATTGAGCCACTGCATGCCTGCCTGGGTGACAGAGCAAGACTCCATCTCAAAAAGAAAATAATAATAGTAATAGTAATAATAATAATAATAATATCTTGGGTTGATTAATGAAACATACTTTTTGCACATAGTTTAAATCATTTATGACAATTTAAAAATTGTTGATATTTACTAGAAAAGGAATTGGATTATTTGGAAAGTTTCTTGGTCTAAAGGCTACCCATGATCAAAATTTACCCGTGACCTACTTACTTATGTGGGTCCCAAGCATAAAGATTTTGTACATTGAATGTTTTTTTTCTGTTAAACAAAGGATAGCTTGAAAGTTCAGATCAAAAAATGTGGCCAGAAGGTCTGAGTTCTCTAAACAAGATATTTTGACACATTATCAGGGGAGCATACTGAGGATACACATAGAGTTACTACATATTTTTCGTCATATTTTAGCAACTGGATTTTGTATAAAACCAATCATATGTTATCATAACTTTTTTAAAGAAAAAGAACTCTATACATTTCTGAAGACAGCTTATCATGAAGTTTCTACTTCCTTTTGAAATTGAGCATCTATATTATACAGGATATTTTCAGTGATTAACTAAAATTATAGTTCTTCAATGGCTCTTATTATTGTAATACTTTTCTCAGTTCCACACTGATATTATCTGTGTTCTTGTTGAAGGGCAAGTTTTTCTACAAGTCTCAAAGTTGCGTTTACTAATATTAGTAAACTTTCTAGTCATTATAAACCATGTGATTAAATAAAACCCAAATCACTTGTATAATGTAAGATTCCACAGAAATGTCCAAGATTGTTGGTCAGAATTTTATGTTAAAGTTAATGTATAAAATTCTTAATTATATAAATCCATCTCAGAGATACCCTTGTTATAGTTGCATGCTTAAAATTTGAACCTGGCAATTCTATTGGCATTCCCTGTGTCTCTTTTTATTTTGGATTAGTTGCATATTTCATGTTCCAATTTTTCATTTCAAAGAAATGAAAAGAACTATGTTTATAAAAAGATGCTACTTGAAATTTACTTTGATACCTTTAGATTTTAAACATTTTAGCAAAATATAAAGCAATGCTTTCAATTTACATTGTCTTCTTTTGTTTATGAGTTTAGATTACGTGGCATCTTGCCTTACAGTATCTCTGGGAGGAAGGAAACAAGCAAGATTATTTCCTTGAATTTATAAATGATGAAGACATCAAGACTCAGTCCATAAGTGCTATATATTTTCTGTGGTACTGAATTTTTTGATTCAGTTATTTTGTCTGCCTTTCTTCTGGTTTATGTGCCCCGACATGGAAGTACATCAATGTATTTGTAGAACTAAGCAAATCAATATGAACTGAAATATATGTGGTCTGGAAAGCAACCTTGGGAGTTTAGTTATGTCACTATTGGCAGGTGGGAACACCTATATATGAGCAATTCTTGGGTAAACTCAAAGACAGTGAGTTTCAGAGTGGGGTTGGCATGGAGCGGTTCTAATTAATAATTGTAAAGTGAAATAAACATGTTTTGGGATAAATTCCAGGAGAATGTCACAAAATATGTGAACATGAAGAATCAGGTCAGTGTCACTGGATGCTAGTAGAATGTAGTGCTATTAAAAAAAGATAACTCAGTGAGGGGGGTGAGGGATAAAAGACTACACACTGGGAACAGTGTGCACTGCTCAAGTGAGGGGTGTACCAAAATCTCAGAAATCACCACTGAAGAATTTATTCATGTAACCAAGAACCACCTGTTCCCCCAAAACCTATTGAATTACGAACAACAAGATAACCCCAAAGAAACTACATGTACGTGAACTTTGAATTATCTACAATGATTATCCAGGAAAGTTAAAGAGGGTCCTTACAAATTGTTGACTGATGTTATGATTTTAAAACAAAGGCCAGAATGGAAAATGATGCTATCAATGTTGCTTTGG